GTTCAAGAAGCGAATTGAAAAATAGTGAACTAAGGGGATCGCCCTGCTTTGTGCCCCTCTGCAGGTTGAATGGGCGGCTGGTCGTGTCTGTCCGCACCGTGGCTGTTTGGCCAGAGTACATCTTCCGGAGTAGGTGTATGTAGCTTGGTGCGACACCTTGGCTCTTGAGTGCGGTCCATACGCTCTCGTGCTCGACCGTGTCGAAAGCCTTTTTGAAGTCCAGCGTTGCTATCCAAAGTGGTTGGTTCCATTCCCGAGCTCTCTCCCGAAGCATGTGGAAAGTGAAGAGGTGATCTTGCGTCGAAGGTCCCGGGCGAAATCCTGCTTGGTCTGGGGGCTGTTGTTTGTCCAGGGGCGGCTGCAGTCTATTGTATAGAAGCTTGCTGAAAAGTTTGTAGAGCAGGGGAATGGTGCAGATTGGCCTGTAGTTCTGAGGTTGCATGGGGTCGCCTGCTTTCGGGATTACTGTGATGACTGTCTGTCGCCAACTCTGCGGAGTAGGCGCGTCGGCTTGTATGACAGTGTTGTATAATTGGAGTGCGGCTCGTTTGAGTTCTGTGGGCGCATGCTTCAACATTTCGGCTCTGATTCCGATCGTGTCGGGTGCTTTTCCCCGCTTGAGGTTGGACAGTTCCCTGTTGAGCTCGTGGATTGTAAAAGGCGGCGCCGTGTCGTCAGAAGGCTCAGGTGGTGAAGATTGCCGAGTGGAAAGATACAGCTGCTCGTAGAAATCTGCAAAGACGTTCGCAATTGAGTCTCTGCTGGTATGCTTCGTGTCGTCCTTGCCGCGCATCTCCGTGATTAGTGTACGCTTCCGCCCTGATTTAATGGTCGTAATGCGCTCGAGTCCACGGTAGTCCTCGAGTATGGTGCTGATCTGCGTACGTCGTGTTGTTCGTTTTTGCCGTCGTATCTCTTGTCGGATTTGCTTGCTGACGTCGCGTCGGGACTGTGTATTGTCATTCGGGATGTTGCGCCTCTGCTGGATCAGCGCTTGGAGGTGTACGTTGGTCGAGAGGTGCGGTCTCAGTTGCGCCGGCTCCGCAATGTTTTTTGTCGTTGCTTCCAACATGGATGTCTCAATATGGTTGCTGAGCTCTTCTGGCGGTCGGGGTAGGTCTGCTGCAGAGATAACGTCTTTGGCCGTTGTGTGATACGCCTCAACGTTGACGTGGGCCCAACTGCGGGTGGTCGTGTGTCGTGATGTGTGCTTGGGCTGGTGCTGTTCGTCGTGCGTATGCCGGTCAGTGGAGATGCGTCGCTGGAAGCAGAAGTCGGCAACCACGGCCTTGTGATCTGAACCTAAGTCCACTGCGTTGTTCGCCTCCACGTTGCGGCATTGTCGGAATAGGCGCCTGGAGGCAAGGATGTAGTCGAACTGCTTCTCGGAGCCATTGCTGTGAGTGTAAGTTACTTGCTGCCCCACTGGTTTGCGAAAACATGATCGACCCACGAACCCGGAAAGGAATATAGAAACGTAAAGCATTGCAACATTTCAAAGGCACCTGATTGGGCGACGGGCACATGCAATGCTGAATGTATCGATGATGATGTACTGTGCCGAGGGCTGTGCTGTGCTACGCCGTGCTGAACTGCGATGTGCCATGCCGCGATTGTGCTCTATATAGCGTTGTGGATCGAGTCCTCCCTGGCATCCGAGTCCTCACCGAACTGATCTGGAGCGTAAGCTCGAGCTGCCTGAGCAGATGGTAGCTGCCCAGAACTAATCGACAGAGGGAACATGCCAGGAGGACGCGCCGCGGAACGTCCCAAGGGACGCGCCAGGCGACGTGCCAGGGGACGTGCCATGGGCACGCACCGCGGGACGTGCCAAGGGGACGCGCTACGGAACGTGCCAATGGACGTGCCGAGGGACGTGCCAGGGGACGCGCCGCGCGACGTGCCAAGTGGACTCGCCACGGAACGCGCCAAGGAACGTGCCAAGGTGCATAGTTGAGTGTATCGATCTTGATGTACCGTGCCGACGGCTGTGCTATGCTGGGCCGTGCTGAACTGCGATGTGCCATGCCGCGATTGTGCTCTATATAGCGTTGTGGATCGAGTCCTCCCTGGCATCTGAGTCCTCACCGAACTGATCTGGATCGTAAGCTCGAGCTGCCTGAGCAGATGGTAGCTGCCCCAGAACTAATCGACAGAGGGAACATGCCAAGAGGACGCGCCGCGGAACGTCCCAAGGGACGCGCCAGGCGACGTGCCAGGGGACGTGCCATGGGCACGCACCGCGGGACGTGCCAAGGGGACGCGCTACGGAACGTGCCAATGGACGTGCACCGCGCGACGTGCCAAAGGGACTCGCCACGGGACACTCCGCGGAACGTGCCAGGCAACATGCCAGGCTGCAATGCTAAGGGTATCGGTATTGATGTACCGTGCCGAGGGCTGTGCTGTGCCTGGGCGACCTGGACACGTGAAAACACGCGTTTCGCTCAAGACGTTGTCAGCACATCCTCATGCTAGACATTCGCCTGGGCAAACTGGACACGTGCAAACAAGCGTCTCGCTCGAGACATCCTCAACACATGCTCATGCTGGACATCCGCCTGGGCGACCTGGACACGTGAAAACAAGCCTCTTGTTCGAGACATCCTCAACAAATCCTCATGCTAGACATCCACCTGTGCGACCTGGAGGCGTGAAACCAAGCGTCTCGCTCGAGACATCCTCAAGACCTGGGCACGTGAAAACAAGCAATCCACTTGAGAGATCCTCATAATTCAGGTCCCCAGGAGAGGACAGTCTATAACACAAAACAAGCGTTTCGCTCGAGACATCCTCAACCAATTCTGAAAACAAGCGTTTCGCTCGAGACATCCTCAAATTTTAATTCGCCGGCCCTACTCCCGCACGTGATTTATCGCAGAAGAAATTCGCCGGCCCTACAGCCGTCAAAACCGGGGGGGAACCAACTAAAAGAGAACCCTGGGCTCAGGCCCTTTCCGGGAAAATGTTTTCGTGATAACAAGACGTTCCTTAGACGCCCACGCACGTAGCCAAGCCCCTCTCGAATCACACTTCCCATACGCGTGATGTCCGATGTGCCTGGCGTCAGTCCTAGGCTCGTCGTCGTCGGCATAGTCGTCGTGCCGCATGGGTTCGATTGAATCCAGGCGTCCAACTTGCGCATTAAAGTCTCCAGCCACAATAGCATGATGTTTTTGTTCGCGAGCTTCGGCGTGTAATGCAGAAATCAGCGTGTACAGTTGCTCCACATGTTGGTCACTGTATCCCGTGTGCGGGAAATACGCTGCGACTAACACCAGTTTGAATGAGCCCCGCCGTATGTGGAGCGCTGCAAGCCTAGCGCTAACACCTTGGAACTGCTTGATGTGTTTGCCCCATCGTTTGTGAACCAACACGCCAACCCCGTGAGAGGGCTGATCATGACCAGATCCGGCAAAAATATTGCCTTCGGCAGTCTCCCACATCTCTGAAACTGCTGTCCTCCGGGTTTCGTTGAAGAGTATGAAGTCCCAATGTTCTGTGCCCATCTCGATGATCACCTCGTCAATGCGGTCATCGTTAAGAGAACGTGCATTTTTGTGAAGTACCGTTAGTGACCACGTGCCGTCTTGGGCTGTGGCTTGATGGTCTCGCCGGTGTCTTGGTTGAGATGGTCCACTGTGAATGCTTAGCATGTGTGGAGGGGCCTGAAGAATGCAAGCGGGAACGTCGCCGTCGACGTGGGTATAATCGGCTCTTCCCCCACCTGTGCTCTTGCGTGGATTTGCGGAGTGGTGTGCTGGTGGACGCTGGGTCAGAGGTGGGAGCTGGAGGGCGGTAGGTGTGGATGGTGGTGGTGGGAGGTCGAATGTTGGCCGCTGGAGGTCGGAATGCTGGGCCGTCGGAGCCTGGAGGTCGATAGGTGGAGATGGTAGTGGTGGGAAGTCACATGATCGACGCTGGAGGTCGAAATGCTGGGCCGTCGGAGGTTGGAGGTCGATAGGTGAAGATGGTGGTGGTGGGAGGTCGGCTGTTCTGGCCATGTGTGCTGCGGACGCGGTCCTGGGGCCCGCGTCGGAAGCCGAAGCGCACCCCGCCTCGATTCTCCAGGAGCTCCTCGGGGCCCAGGGGCACCGGATGGAGCAGCCTGGGCGTGCCTTGTCTTTCCCCTGTGGGCTGCGCACGCGGCTCTCCCAGGCGCAAATCTGAGAGGTCGTGGAGTGACGTGCAACTGTGAAGGGGCCCCGGGACACACAAATAAATACACACAAATAAAAATACCCCCATATGTTCCCATATTTTCTGGGTTTCTGTCTTTCCCCCCATTTCCTATATTTTCCCATATTTTCTGGGGAATCGAGGATTAATTGTGTCTGTGTGTTTCTTTTCCTCCTGAAACTGTCGGTCTGTTCACCCTTCGACTGAGAGTACTCAGGCCTTGCAAGTGGAGTCTGCTGCCCAGGGCCGTCACCCTCGCACGGGCAGGGCCGTGGATCCTGCGCGGTCAGTTCTTGAGGACGGGGGCCTGTCTGTCCACGGCCTGGCTCGGTCACGCCTGAGCCGCTGGACGCACAATATTGGGTGGTCCCCCTCTGCACTGCCGTACGCGTTGCTTTATTCCGTGTGCCCTACCGCTGACGCGGTCCTTTCTCTGTAGTCGGGCGGTGACGACTCGTTCCCGCCTCGGCTGCTCGCTCGCTCGCTCCCTCCTCCTCCTCCCCCCTCCTCCTTCCTCCCCCTCCTCCTCCTCCTCCGCTCCTCCTCTCCTCCTCCTCCTCTCCTCCTCCTCCTCTGCTCCTCCTCCTCCTCCCTCCTCCTTCCTCTCCTCCTCCTCCTCCTCCTCCTCCCTCATGCTGCTGCTCCGCCTCCTCCTCCTCCTCCTCCTCCTCCTCCTCCTCCCCCTCCTCCTCCTCCTCCTCCTCTCCGCCTCCTCCTCCTCTTGTTGTTGTTCCTCCCCCTCCTCCTTCCCGTCCTCCTCCTTCCCCCCCCCGCCCTCGAGAAAGATTTAGCCCGCTGGCACGCCCCAGCTGGCGGCGCGCCTCCTCGACGGCCTCGGGGCCCACCTCGCCGCCAGCGTAGAAGCCAAGGAGGGGCGCCGTCGGGAACCTCTCCTGCTGAGAACACCGGGCAAAAGCAGCAGGGAGGAGGAGCATGATGATGGTGATGATGATGATGCTGCTGCTGATGAGGAGGAGGAGGAGGAGGAGGAGGAGGAGGAGGGGAGGGAAGTTGAGAAGGGAGAGGGGTGGAGAGGGGAGAAGGGGGAGAAGGGGGAGGAGGGGAGGAGGAGGGGGTGGAAGTGCAGGATGGGGAGAGGAGAAGGAGGAGGAAGGAGGAGGAGAAGGAGGAGGAGGAGGAAGAGGAGGAGGAGGAGGGGAAGAGGGGAGGAGGATCAGGGGCAGGATCAGGGGTAGGGGAGGAACAGGAGAGGGAGGAGGAATTTTAGGAGAAGGAGCAGGGGCAGAGGGGGAGAGGGGGAGGAGGAGGGAGGAGAAGGAGGTAGAGGAGGTAGGAGGAGGTAGAGGAGGGAGAGGAGGAGGGGGTGAGGAGGAAGAGAAGAGAAGGAGAAGGAGGAGGAGGAGGAGGAAAAGGATGAGGTGGAGAAGGAGGAGGAGGAGGAGGAGGAGAGGCGGAGGAGGAAGAGGAGGAGAAGGAGGAGGAGGAATAGGGGGACGAGGAGGAGGAGGAAGAGGAGGAGGAGGAGAACGAGGAGGAGGAGGAGGAGGGGATCGGATAATGGTAATGATGATACTGATGATGATGATGATGCTGATGATGATGCTGATATATTGATGATGCTGATGGTGGTGATACTGATTATGATGATGTTGCTGCTGCTGGTGATAGTGATGGTGATGGTGATGGTGATGGTGATGATGATGATGATGATGATGATGATGGTGATGAGGATGATGACGATGACGATGACGATGGCGATAGTGACGCTGCTGATGATGATTGATATCATCGTGATGCTGATGATGATGATGATGCTGCTGCTGCTGATCATTAGCATGCGTCTGATGATGATTATGATGCTGATGATGAGGACGATAGTGTTGATGCTTGTGGTGATGCTGATGATGATGATGATGACGAGGAAGAGGACGGGGGGGACGAGGATTATGATGGTGATGATGATGATGCTGATGATGATGATGATGACGAGGATGGGGTAATGAGTCTGATGATGATGCCGATAATGGCGGTGATGGTGACGCAAGTGATGCCGCTGATATTGATGGTGATAAGGATGACGATGATGATGCTAATGATGATGGTGGTGCAAATGCATGCTGATGATGGTGATGGTGGTGGTGATGATGCTGATGATGATGGTGATGATGATGGTGAATACGATGACGATGACGATGATGATGCTTGTGATGATAATGGTTATGCTGATGCTGATGCTGACGCTGCTGAGGATGACGATCATGCTGATGATGATGATCATGCTGATGATGCTGGTAATGCTGATGATAGTGATCAAGGCGATTATGATGGTGATTATCTCTCTCTCTCTCTCTCTATATATATGATGGATGCGGTTGTTGCTGAGTATGACAATGATGATGGCGCTGCTGCTGCTGATGGTGATGATTATGATGCTGCTGCTGCTGATGATGATGATGATGATCATGATGATGATGATGATGATGATGATGTTGATGCTGATGTTGATGCTGATGCTGATGATGATGATGATGATGATGATGAGGATGATGATGATGATGATGCTGCTGATGATGATAATGATGATGATGATGATGATGATGATGATGATGATGATGATGATGATGATGATGATGATGATGATGATGATGATGATGATGATGGCGGTGGTGGTGACGGGGAGGAGGCGAAGGAGGAGGAGAAGTGGAGGAGGAGGAGGAGGAGGAAGAGAACGACGACGACGACGAGTGGGAGGACGAGCGTGGGGGTGACAAAGAAGCTGAGAGGGGAGGGGAGAAGATGAGAGGGAGGGGGAAGAGGAGGAGGAGGAGGAGGAGGAGGAGGAGGAGGAGGAGGAGGACTACGAGACTGAGGAGCAGTAGTAGGAGCAGGAAGAGGAGGAGGAGGAGGAGGAGGAGAGGAGGAGGAGGAGGAGGAGGAGGAGGAGGAGGAGGAGGAGGAGGAGGAGCAAGTATCCTTGAAGAGCAGCGCGTCGTTCGCGTCCATCCCGAACATCCTGGGGCACCTGCCGTTGCAGGTGAAGAGCAGCGCCCCGAGGATCTGCTCCTGCCTTCGGGCCGCCATCTCCTGGGTGGCGGGAACGGGCGGGCCGATAGACAGGAGGGGCGGGGGAGGGGCAGCGGGTGGGGGGGCGGGCGGCGGCGGCGGTCTCCCATGCTAATCTGTTCCTATCGATTTAGACTTCTCCTACCTATATTTAGATCGTAGGGGCCTCGATAGATCGGAAAAGTCGATGTAGACAGCCTGTCTAAGTGGAGCGGACAAGATTCTCGTGGCCATCGGGAGCACGCGTCATCGAGCGCTCGCCGCGAAGCCCACCAGAGCGGCACGAGCTCCGGGGGCCTCGCCCCTCGGCGGGGGGGGGGCGGCCTCGCGCACTCCTCGGCGCGCAGCGCGGGGCATTCGCCATCGCGGCCGGGGAGTGCGCGGGGGGGGAGGGCCGAGCCTCTGGCCCCCCCCTCTCTCTGACGGGGGCCCCAGATGACAGGCTGCCCCCTACTTTTTCCCATACCTTGTGGATCCGTTCGTCTTCCCCCCCACGCTTCCCAGGAGGAGGAGGAGGAGGAGGAGGAGGAGGAGGCGGAGGAGGAGGAGGAGGAGGAGGAGGAGGAAGAGGATGATGCCCGCGGGGTAAGGCGGCTGTGTCGATCCACAACCACCCCCGCGCGCGCCCCCGCGCGCGCCCTCGCCTCTGCGCGGTCACGCGCCCGAGGCCGTCTGGCAGGCCTCGGCCTCACCTCGTGCCGCCCGCAGCAGCCTCGCCACCTTGGCGGCCATGCCAGGCGAGCAGCTTCGCTCTCGCGCGCGGCGCCTGGGCCTCGGCCAGCCGCCGCTGCCGCCCGCAGCCCCTGCTTCGCTTCGAGCAGCAGGGCCACCTGCAGGCGGCCGGCACCCCTCCTGCACCCTGGCAACCTTGGCCTCGCCGCCGCCGCCGCCCGCAGCCCCTGCTTCGCATCGAGCAGCAGAGCCACCTGCAGGCGGCTGGTTCTCCTCCTGCATCCTGGCAACCTTGGCCTCGCGCTGCAGCGACGGCGCCGAGCTGCACGCGCGCCTGCCGCGCCGCTGGGGCGCACCTCCTTCCTTCCCGCCCGCAGGCGGCTCCTCCAGCGTGGTCTCCAGCAGCACGTCCACGCCGTCCTCCTCCGGGCCGCTGGTCCCTGGAGTCCCTGCTGCGGCCAGCCCCTGCGAGCTGCCTCCTCCTCCGCGGGCAGGCGGCTCTGCAGGCGTGGTCTCCTGCACGCCCGCTCCTGCAACCGCGGCGCTGGCCGCCGTTGGCTGGTCCGCCCGCCCGCCAGCCACCTCCACGTCCAGCAGCTCTCCACTGAGGTCGTCGAGGCGCGCGATGACGACTGGCACCGCCCTCGTCGTGCGGGGCGCTAGCCCCCGCTGCAGCTTGGCCACCGCAGCACTGCCCGACGCGGAAGGCGGCATCTCGCACTCTCCGCTGAAGCCGCATGCCCTGGCGGCGCCCGCGATCCCGCAGAGGCGGCAGGCGACCAGCGGCATCCTGCGCTCCAGCTGCTCGTCCACGGTGGGGCGGATGACCACCAGGTCTTGGGCGGTGAGCCCCTGCTGCCTCAGCCTCCTGTTGGCCTTCGCCGCATCCGCCACAATGGAGCCTGGGCATTCGCCCACTCTCTCCTCCCACCTGCAGACTTCGCACCACCTGGGCTGCCCAGGCTGCCCGCGCCAGGTGCATGCCACCTGCGCGGCTGCCGTGCGCCTCTCGGGAAGGGCCCGCTGCTGCTTCACCTTGCCATGCGTGGTGTCGCTGCCGTCAACCCAGATGCCCACTGCCGAGCACCACAAGGCGGCCCTGTCGACGAGGCCTCGGCTATGAGCAAGCCGCAGGCGCTCACGGCCAGGCAGGCGTCCCGCAGCGGCCGCCGCCTTGGCCGCGCGGTCGGCCAGCCGATTGCCGTACCAGGCACGGTGCGACACCTTCCCAGCCGCCACCTGCTGCCTCGTGCTGTGGCTGGGCACCCACCTCAGGTGCACCTCACTGCCCAGTCCTCCGCGTTCATCCAGCAGCGCCCAAGCCTGCCTCCACAGGCGCGCCCAGGACTGACCGCTGGCCGTCGTGCGCATGCGCCCCGCCTGGTAGAAGCCGCCGAACACGTACTTCGAGTCCACAACCAGCACTGCGTCACCGTGACCGTACCTCAAGGCCATGATCACCGCCGTGAGCTCGCCGCCGTTGATGTCGACGCACGGGCCGACCACCTGGCCAGCGATCGACACCCTGTACACATCCCCCCCCCCCTCCCTCAGCGCAACTGCACTCTAGCCCGCCGACGTGAACTCGCCGTAGTCCGCCTCGAACACCGAGCCGCCCAGGAAGAGCTCACCAGCTGGCAGAACGCCTCCCTCATGGTCGCCCTTCCAGCAGACCAGGTCGCTGGCCTGAGGCTTGCCCCTCGGCGCTGGCCACAGGCACCTCTCCAGCAGCAGCTGGATCCCGAGCTCCTGCCATCTCCTCCTGAGGTCCTCCATGTCTGGGGGAAGGGCCAGCACCACTCGCCAGCTAGCACGGTCGCAGTGCCTGTGCATCAGGGCGCCCTCCAACCCGCACCTGGGGCACCCCGCGCCATTCGCCAGCCCCTTCTCCGCCTTACGTGCCTGCGTCCACTGCCCGTTGACGATCAGGGACCGCAGGTGCGCCATCTCGCGCTGCGTGAGCCGCACCCTGACCTTGCCAGCACCTCCTCCCAGCAGACCCCCAGGGTGGAGCACTCTACCTGTGGTGGTCAGCCTCACCAGCGGCTCGAGCTCTCCACCTGCTGCCAGGTGACCACACCCAGGGTCCTTGCTGACCTGCCTCCGCTGCCACCTCTGCACCCCTCGCATGACCAGCTTGCGCACGACCCACGGCGCTACGCCGAACGGCGCGATGGTGTTGCCGTCGTCCATGACCCAGCTGTTGGATGCTTCCACCTCCCACCCGATCCTCCCCAGCGACATCACCGTCGCCGCGCACGGCCCCTGCACGGGAGCCCAGGTGGTGGCCCTCTTGTCCTGCAGGCAGCGGACCACCATGTGGAGAGGCACCCAGTTCTCCCACACCGCCCGCAACAGCATCATCACGGGCACGCAGGTCGCATCGATGATCGGGTCGAGCCCAGGCTGAAACATCAGCCCCAGCGACCTACTCTTACTCGCCGTGGTGTTGGAGACCGCCACAAACGTCATCGTCCTGGCGCGGTCCAGCTCGCCCATCGCGCACCCCGTGATGGCCGTGCCGTAGCCGATGCTAGGGTGCAGCCCCGTCTTCACAACCCTCTTCGTTGCGAGCCTCTTGGCCTTCACCATCTTCAGCACCTTGAACTTCCTCAGCCTTTGCCCCGCCTGCTGGTAGCGTCCCGCGCGCACCGCACGCCCCAGCCTCTTGCCCCCGCTGAGGTCGACCCCAAGGTTTCGCTCCTGCCGCGCCGCCAGCACTCCCAGCGGCCTGCGCAGCCTCTTCTCCAGCTCCTGCGTCGCCTCAGGAAAGTTGGCGAGCGCCCTGGACTTCTTGACCGCGACCGACAGGTCCACCTCGCCGAGCAGGACCTTGAGGTGCCTGGCCGCCGTCGCGATGTCCCCGACGACGCGCTGCAGGCCCCCAACCCTCCTGATGATGATGTCATCCACGACCACCGAGAGGGCCACCGTGGGTACCAGCGCCTGCAGCCTGTCCAGCGGCTCCAGCAGCAACATCTTGAGCATGAGCGTTGCCAATCCATCCCCTGGCAGCACGGCCTGCTCCGTGTAGATGGCGTCGCTGACCGCCTCGTCGCGCGCCAGCCACCTGGCCGACCTGCACAGGCTGATCTGCAGCTTGAGCTGCCACAAGGGGAACCCCGTCTTCCTCGCAGCACGAATGAGGTGCCCGTGCTGCACCTGCTCGTACGCCTTGAGCGAGTCCAGGAGCACCAGCGCGGCGACCCAGCTGGAGGCGTCGCCTGCCTCGCGTCCTCTGGCCGTGGCCCACTCGCACTCCACCGCCTGCTGCCAGACCGCCCTCTCGCAGCCCTTCCCTCTGGACGCCCAGAGGGGCCGATCGTTCCTGCGCTCCCACTCGACCGCCGCTGGCCTGCGCAGCCTCGTCTAAATCCTCGCGAACCCGTGTGCGATGGCCACCGGCCTCACTCCTCCTAGCCTCTTGGCCAGGAACACGATCGTGTTGTTCAGCTGCGGCCGCTCCGCCGCCTGCTCTACAGCCATCGCGACGTCGATGAGCGTCTCGAGGCCCTCGTCGCTCAGCTCCAGGAACTGCCGCGGCTTGACTGCCTCGAAGCCCGCCGCGGCGCCCACCCTGAACGAGCGCAGCACCGCCTTCATCTCCTCCACTGAAGGCCTGCCAGGCCTCACGCCCAGGTCGTCTGGCCACACCAGATCCTCATGGGCGCACTGCACCCTCCAGAGCTTGCCCCATTCTTGCTCGAGGGCGTCCAGTTCCTGGCAGAGGCTGCGGGGGCCTGCCGCGGAACTGCAGTCGCTGCCTTGCCAGCCGACAGCCACCCTCGTGACTGCACGCAGCCCTCCTGCTCCTCCCTTCAGCTGCCTGTCGACTCACTCGTCGAACTGCCTGCCGCGCTTGTCGATGTCACGCTTGGCAAACTGGTGAGCGCGCAACTTGGCCAGCCTGGCCAGGGTCAAGAGGGCCACGGGGTCCCAACTCGCAAGCCCTGCACGCTGCAGCACCTGCAGCCACCTGCCCGCCTCCGCGCTGGCGTGGTTGCCTTCCTGCTCGCTCTCGGCCTGCTCTTGCCACTGCCTGACCCTCTGAGGCACCAGCTCCGCCAGCCTAAGCAAGAAGTCGAGCGCATCAATCCGACCTCGGGGCGCCTGGACCCTCGCCGCGGCCTCCAACGTGCTGGCCACTCTCGCCATCCACGCTGCTTCAGGCGTGTGCCTCAGCGCCCGCGGCTCCTGGATCCCGATGCGTCGCACCCCCTTGGTGGAGAAGCCCTGCGCCCTGCCCGCGTACCTGCCCCTCTGGTCCTCCAGCTGGCACACGTCCAGCCACTCCTCTTCTGCGCACTCCAGGAAGGTGGCGAAGGCAGCAGTGAGTGCGTCCTTGGCGC